GAGAGTAACAGTCTCTCTCACAGACAAATATTTCTAAGTGGCAGTCATGTGCCTTATACTGAAAACAATTTTGTCTTGTTTTAAGACACTGCTGTCCCTAAATTTTGGAAGTACATTTCCCCCCTCTGGCCTTCTGAAGCTACTGTTTTGCAACTGGTTCTAATTGATGGGTTTCACAGCCTACCTTCTTTCTATATTATCACTCTCCTGCTTCCCCTCTGTGTTTAGAATAGTGGATTCACAGGTCAGGGCCTTTTCACTAGCGGCTACATTAGGTTTGCTACTCCCTTCTCTGGGAGACTTCCTTGACATCTCTTCAACTCCTGAACTATTGTTGAGACAGGTAGATGTCAAGTCTCTGAATGTTGCAGAGCAGGAGCGGGTGTATTATTTTGTGACCCCGTGGTGGCAGTGATAAGACCTGACCTTTCATGGATTAGATTCCTGGTGCTTTCTGGTGCTCAAAGGGAAATGAGGGGGAATCTCTGATCAGTTTTGGAAGCAAAAGGCAAGATACAGTAGGAAAGATGGCAATAAGGAAAAGGCCTACAATGATATTCATGGGGAGAACATGGCAGAAATAGAACACAGAATAAACGTGGTAATATATTTGTCTCCAACATCAACGAATGTAATTAAATCCAGAGACACACTTTTAAAAAAAAAGAGAGCAAAAGAGCAAAATCTACTGCTTTTATTTTCCTTTTTAAAACAAGCATGAGGTAGTTGTTGTGTTAAGGAGAGAAAAAACACAGTAGAGAAATCGCTGTAAAAATGCTACACGAGAACACACGCTAGTACATTTTTTCCCTTTTTTATATAAAATTAAATAATATAAAGATGCTCTGAGGAAATAAAAATTTGTCTCCAACATCAACTAACGTAATTAAATCCAGAGACACACTTTTAAAAAAAAAGAGAGCAAAAGAGCAAAATCTACTGCTTTTATTTTCCTTTTTAAAACAAGCATGAGGTAGTTGTTGTGTTAAGGAGAGAAAAAACACAGTAGAGAAATCGCTGTAAAAATGCTACACGAGAACACACGCTAGTACATTTTTTCCCTTTTTTATATAAAATTAAATAATATAAAGATGCTCTGAGGAAATAAAAATACATTGTCATACATTAAAAAGGAGAAAGAGAGAGAGAGAAAGAGAGAGATATCAATACCTAAAATATTAGGGAAAAAAGGCTAGAGGTGCCACCTGGTAGGAATTGTATCTATTCTAGACCCCAGTGGAATGAGTGAGACACATCAATGGGATCCCATGAATTTCAGTGGGGTTTGTGCAGAGAAATTCCTGCAGGATGAGGACCTATGTTAACGCAAACATCCAGGACATTGAGCTGACCCAATACCTGGGGAGGACTCTCCAATTTTCAGTACCAGTTGTTAAAAGCACTCGCAGAGTGTGTAATAAGAAGTCACAGGATCGGCCTCCTCAATAGGGTCAAAGCCTGCTGGGGGGGAAAAAAGAAGATGCCCAGGTAGAGGCTGCATTCCAGCAGAAATCCAAAAGAATCAAACTGCAAAGCCGGTGTGGTTGATGCTAAAGGTTTCAATTTTCCACCCTCCTGACACATCACAGACCATGCCATGCTCAAAAGTTTGTTTTTAAAAGTAATTTCCAATTTCTGTTCTGATGTTTTTGCTTGTTTGTTGGACTGTTACGGGCTCGTCTAGTAAAAACAATGCTGTTCCTGGAGGTTTCTAGGAGCAGAAAGCCGCCTTTCCCATAGACATCTGTTTAGGGGCCCATGAGCCATATTACGCCTTCCCCGAGGAACTGGAGGAGAGTTGTGTACAGTGGACCCTCTACTTAAGGAATTAATCCGTTTTTCTGGTCTGTAAGTCGATTCTCCGGCTGCAAGTCGAATCTAAATTTTGCAGCCAGAGAAGTCTGTAACTCGAAAAGTCTGTAAGTCGAGCCGTCTGTAAGTTGAGGGTCCACTGTATTGGAACACACCTCCACAACACACAAAAAACTGCATGGAAAACCAGCCATGTTGCAGTGAGGATTAGATTGAAACTCACTCATTCGCTCGCTTCTGCACTCAAGTCTCAAGGGGTCATTTTGTTAGATCCAGCCGGACATGCAAACTAGCCCTAAGATTAAAACTAGAGGGCAATGTTCATGCGCAGTGGTGTTTTGCCAGCCAGACTGGACTGTCTCCTCTTACACGGCAGGCAGACATTGCAGCAACACTGGGGATTTGGGAAGGAGAACATGTGCAATGGTGGAGGCTGCAACTTACTGACCTGTATGTTGTCTTATATGGGGAGTGGAGAGCAAGTTCAAGAAATGTGTCCAAGGACAGTCTGTGTGTTGCTGAGCAATTCCATTCACTCATCTTGCCACCCAACGTAGTGTGGTGGATAAAGTGATGGGCTAGGACTCAAGAAACCACAGTTTGAATCCTTGCTAGGCCATGGCAATTCATGGGGGGGGGAGTGGCACTGGCAAGGCTATTCCTTAAATATCTCATTTACCTTGGAAATACGCTGGTTCCAATTTGATGGCATATATAACACATAAATCTGGCCAGGTAGAGTGGTACCTCGACCTGCGAACGTCCCTACTTGTGAACGATTCGAATTACAAACGGCTCCGGTCGCAAAAATTTGCTTCGACCTGCAAACAGAGCCTCGACTTGCGAACTGCAAAAAAAACAAAAACAAAAAACAAAACCTTTCCTGCCCTTTTTTTGGCAAACTGAAAAAAAACCCTTTCCTGCCCTATTTTTGACCTAAGTTCACCTTAGGTCAAAAGAAGAAAAAATAAGGAAGTTCTCCCCCTAGTGATAGAGTATGGATTAACCGGCTTGCTCCCCCTAGTAATAGAGTACGGATTAACCGGCTTGGCATTAGTTCCTATGGGAACTAATGTCTCTACTTGCGAACAGCGCCTCGACATAAGAACAAAAAACAGCCTAAACAGATCAAATGGTTTTCAATACATTCCAATGGGAAAGTTTGACTCCACTTGCGAAATTTTCGACATACGAACTTAATTCCAATACGGATTAAGTTCATAAGTCAAGGTACCACTGTATATACTTCTTTTTAGAACTTTCCAGCTTGCAGTGAGGAGCAGCTCAGTTATGGCTGGAATACTCCTTTTAACCATGGTAAGAACACAGGCAAGCCACCATCCAGCTGGTGAGCGTCTGTAGATTCTACTAAATCTGTGGTCTTGGCAACTGCCTGCCACTGTTTCAGAGCTATTATCTAGAATGCCCTTTCCCCCCAACAATGAAGAGTCTTGTGGCACCTTGAAGATTAACACATTTTATGTGATCTACACTTTTGAGGACAGCGGTCTACTTCATCAGCTGCCAAAGACTTGAAGAAGTGGATTGCAATCTACAAAATATGTCAAATGCAACGGGTTAGCTTTGATGGTACCACATGCTATTTCGCAACGGTTTAGCTTTGATGGTACCACATGCTATTTCTTCATTTTGCTGCAACGAACTACAGAGAAACATGGTTACTGCCTGGAATTCTGTCCCAAAGCAATTAAAAAAAAGTTAATGTGTTATTCTGTGGGGCCATTAGATTGGCCCTCCGAAGTGCTCAAATTATAGAAAGTGGCTTGGTTGCCCCCCCCAGCTCACTTTCCAGAGATAAAGAGAAATAAACGTTCATTATCCTCCACTTGTAACACACGTATGATAACGGCTACAGCCCAACTGCTTACTCCAGTGACATCATCATAGAAGGAACTCTGGCCGAATACAGCCACTGAAATGGGAGCGCATGAGGTGCAGGAAACACAGACTTGACTCCAACCTTCCATCTCTAATGTGGCACAGAGGGTGTAAACACCAGACCGGCACCCACAGGTCTGCCTAACTGTAGCGCATCTCAACCACATATCTCGGGAGATGTACGGTGCGCACCTCTAGTTCATGCTAGAAGAGAAACACCTTACACAATTTGTGTCCTGTAACAAGCATGGCAAGGCACCTATCAAGCCCTAGAAACAAGTGGGTGTGTTTTGGAACTAAGGTTAAAGGTAAAGGTTCCCCTTGACGAACAAGTGGGTGTGTTTTGGAACTAAGGTAAAAGGTAAAGGTAAAGGTTCCCCTTGACATTTTTAGTCCAGTCGTGTCCGACTCTAGGGGGCGGTGCTCATCCCGTTTTTCAAGCCGCAGAGCCAGCGCTTGTCCGAAGACAGTTTTCCGTTGTCAGGTGGCTAGCGTGACTAGGGAGTGCTGTTTTACCTTCCCACCGAGGGGGTCCCTATTTATCTACTCGCATTTGCATGCTTTCAAACTGCTAGGTTGGCAGGAGCTGGGACAAAGCGATGGGAGCTCACTCCATCGTGTGGATTTGATCTTACGACTGCTAGTCTTCTGACCCTGCAGCACAGAGGCTTCTGCGGTTTAGCCCGCAGCGCCACCACGTCCCGTTGGAACTAAAGGGGAGTTCATATCTAAGAGAGCCAGAAAGGCAAACGCTTCCTAGGGCCTTTTGTCCCATTGATGCCTCCAGTCAAGCAGGTTTTGTAGTTCGTTTGTTTTTATAGAGTTCCAACAATACACTGTCAAACGCAGTGTAACTGGAGTCGCCAGTGGGATGAGTGTACAAGCCACCCTCTCTTTCAAAATTCGTTCCATTCCAAAGGATCTCTCCTGCTTGTTTCTTTTCTTACTTTTTCAACACTCTTCCGTTGAGTTCAAAGATGAGAAAGGATAAAACAGAACAGGTCGGGGGAATCTTTAACATAGGGTAGAAAAAAGGGCATATTTCTATTAACCTAACGGAAATTTATTTTCAGCTTTCTCATGGTTAAAAAAAAGTTGTTTAATTTGAAAAAATAAAAGGGGGAGGGGTAGCAATGTTCCTTTTGGCAAATTGGTACACAGTGTTATTAAGCTATGAATACTGCTGGGGGGGGATTTAATCAAGAAGTCCTTGTTGTTGTTTAGTCGTGTCCGACTCTTCGTGACTCCATGGACCAGGGCATGCCAGGCCCTCCTGTCTTCCACTGCCTCCCGGAGTTGGGTCAAATTCATGTTGGTCACTTCGATGACACTGTCCAACCATCTCGTCCTATTGGTTGCCCCCCCCGCTCTCTTTCCTTTGCTCTCTTTCCAAGAAGTCGTCAAGACGTATGAAAAACTTCCCACACAGGTGAATTTGAAAAGGATCCCCTTTATCTCATACTGCTTCTATAATTACCAGGGCTGGCATCTGAAGTAGGTGGTGGTGGGTGGGTGGGCACCTAACATTGTCTCCTCACTGTCTTCCTCCCCCATCCCGATTAAGGGATCCACAATCTACAAAGGAACGCCTCCACCCTGACCTGGGGAAGGAGGTGTCAGGCCCCATGAAAGGCCACCATTGGTTTTGACTCTTTCCTAGCAAAGTACCCACCCCACAGTGCCCGGCGATTGCACACAGGCTTTCCAGGGCAGTTTCTCCATCTGTGTCTTGTCCACATTTGCCTGCTTGCTCTTCCTGACAGTGCAGAGGCCTGGTGCTATGCCAAGGGAACCAAGGACCATGCCAAAGCAGGGCGCCACGGACCTCTTCCCCTTGCGCCATGCAGGTAAGGAGAAGAGACCCTTGCACAAACAGCGTGAGGTATACCGATGCAAGTTCCAGGAGCCAAGCAAGGTAGTAGCTGGTGGCATGGCAGCGGCCACACAGTGGTAGCCTAGGGTCAGGCGAGGTGGAGGGAAGCTGCCGCTAGGCTCAAAGGAGACCCACCACCCCTTCATTGCTACCCCCCTCACTCCTTGTTTCTGTAATTCCTGCACAGGGCCCTTTGTGGCCCGAGGTCTGCTCAGTTCCCTGCAGCCTCCCTCGGTGCCTTGCCGCATGAATATGGTAGGAGATACGGGAAGAGAAATGTCTCACAAAGCGGGGGGAGGGGGGGAGAGCAGGCTCTGGAGTCCCAGAACAAAGGCCAAATACTCAAGAAGGTGAGAAACTGTTGTTAAGAAAGGGTTTAGAGAGGCCCTTCTGTACTCCCTTCGCCTCCACACCACGAGTGGCGAGACTGTTTAGTAACCTCAAGGGCTAAGCCTTACGTAATGGATGTTAACATTATTTCTAGCTTTGCTGCTGGCAAGAATTTAGTCAGGGCTTCCTTCAAAGTGGGTGAACACAGGCCACGTTCTCAAACAGGGAAGGCGAGCTGATTATACCAGAGAGGCCGCTACGCAGGAGAACCCCAGGCTGTCCTGCAGGGAACGTGTCCTGCCGGATGGGCTGTGCATTCTCTCCACCTTCTGGGCAGGAGTCAGGATCCTCCCTCTGCACTGAGTTCAGGCTTCTCTCCACCCTGGCCAAGGCAGCGGCAGGAAATCCAGCACCCGACTTGTCTGCCTGCCTATCAGGACTTAGCAAGGTTTCAGGGAATTCAGATTCCATCTTGTCTTCTTCGTCCAGGGACGCTGGCTGAAAATTCTGCTTCAAATCACTGGGAGGTTGGCTCTCCGGACGGTGGCGTTCTGGGTCATGTTCCTCATCAAGGGTCCCTTCCTCCATGCCCAGCATGTGAAGCTGGGAGCCACAATCCCAGTGGGAGGCTGAGAAATCAGAATGGACAATAACCTCTGCTTCCATCTGGTTGAGACTGTTTGGTGCGTGTTCCTTTTTCGCTTCATTCTATATGAGAAACAGACAAGGGAAACAAAGATAATCCTAGTGAAATATTTCCAGGTAGGCCTACAACAAAGTACCCAGGTAAACGCTCGCTTCCTGTTCTCCTTTCTACATCCTGTCCTTGTACGTGCCAGTCTTGTTTCTATATCCTATGTCTATATCCTGCTCTTGTTTCTATATTGCTTTTCCACATGGCCTACGGAATCACAATCTTTATTCCAGGCTTCCTCAGCTTGATGCCCTCCAGATGTCTTGGGCTCCACAATGAGCACAACGTTATCTGGATGGTACCAGGTTGACGGAGAGCTAAAAGTTTATTCTGCTTATTGTGTTTCCTCCTGTTGAGAAGATAGCATTACTAATATTCCTACTTGGTATACAAGGAAATGAAGGGGAGAGAGATGTTTATTTTATACACAACTTTTAGTCAATTAACCAGTTGAAAAGATAATTCAGCAACACATTTTCAAATAAATTAACTACCAATTCTAACAGAAGTGCTTATAAAACAAACATTTTGGGTTAATTGCTATTTGGGGCCACTTATGGTAATTTCTAGGCCTCGTGCAGCCAGCAGTAACAGTTGGGGGGAAAATGGCTCCCCAGAACCTTCAGAGTTGGCCATGATTAAATTGACAGGCATCGAGGATGGGGATGTGCCACCCTTCAGATGCTTTTAGACTACAGCTCCCAGCATCCCCTCCCCATTGGTTCTGCTGGCAAAGGCTGATGGGAGTGGCAGTCCAACCACTTAGCAACGTCTGAAACTCTGACATGATGCTACCAGTCAGAGGCTATGGCAGGCCAAGGGTATGACACCTTGACAGTGTGGCTTGTCTATTCCAGTGATGCCGAGTGAACTAAAAAAAACCCCACAAACTCAAAAAAGACACATTTTTGTTTCTGCTTATCTGAACAAAATGCCCAGTGGATCGTCTCCTCCCTGTTCCACGGCCTTGGTGGGAATACCTACTGCAACAACGTCGTAAACCAGGGCTTGCAACAAAAGCTTTTGTCCTCCATTAGGTGCCGTTTTCAACGACCCATTCAAAGCCATGGTGGACTCTTTTGGAACCATGTCTCCAGAGCCAGCGATGGTGTTTGTCCAGCTGTTTGATGATTTCTCCCAAGGAGTCTACGAAAAGGAGAAGGAGAGGGAGGAAAGACATCAGCTACTGCAGACTCTTAACCTGGGCTGGCACTCGTTGAGAACAGATCCACAGAGCCTTTTGTATGGATTAGAATTCCATCATGGTATGCCTCTGAAACAAACCACAACAGGACTGAACTGCAGATAAAATTTATGACTGAATCATAAATACAGCATAACAAGGATGAGAGGGAGAGTGGTTTCTAAACTGTGTTTTTAAATGTGTAAAAAGTTTTGATGATTTATTTGTACTGTTTTATTATAAACCTTGTTAAATCTTATTTGTGGGAGTAAAAAGCAGGATATAAATCAAAGAATCTTAAAAACACAGATTTAACTGAACCCCCCCCCCCCGCCCCGTAGGTATCCAATTACCCTGAAGCGGTTTCCCATTCCCTTCTTCTAGGGGTGAACTGGGACTCTGCAGCTTGCTCAAGGCTACACAGGCTGACTCTAATCCATGGGGGCACAGTTGGGAATCAAACCCCCAATCCCTGATTGCTAACTCACTGAGGTAGGACCTTGCCACATTATAAATCTTAAGACTCCATAGGAGGGGGCCATGACCATTACAGTGATATCAAACTGGTATACCTACATAATGTAGATTCACTCTGAATCACTAGTGCTTCTTACCCCATCCTACAGATTAGAAGCAAAGGTGTGTTACAGATGGGCAATGATTAGAAGATAAAAATCCTTAACTATTGGGAAAATCTGGGACGTGGTGGCGCTGTGGGCCAAACCGCAGAAGCCTGTGCTGCAGGGTCAGAAGACCAGCAGTCGTAAGATCAAATCTACGTGACGGAGTGAGCGCCCATCGCTTGTCCCAGCTCCCGCCAACCAAGCGGTTCGAAAGCATGCCAATGGGAGTAGATCAATAGGGACCACCTCGGTGGGAAGGTAACAGCATTCCGTGTCTAAGTCGCACTGGCCATGTGACCACGGAAGATTGTCTTCGGACAAAACGCTGGCTCTATGGCTTGGAAACAGGGATGAGCACCGCCCCCTAGAGTCGAATACGATTGGACAAAAATTGTCAAGGGGAACCTTTACCTTTACCTAATGGGAAAATCAGAGAATAACAGGAGGAGCCATGCTTAGTTCTGGAAGTATGCAGATTGGCTTGCTTTCTATGGTGACTGGTCCTCAGAATTTAAATATGACTGCTCTGAAATCTAATTTTGCAAAGACTGCCTTAGCCAACTCTCTCCAACATTAAGACACTAATTCTGAGCTACCTATGATGTGTCTTTCTGGCCTCAGTGTATAAAGTTACTATAACAAATTATGATGAAATCCAGTAAGACAGGACCACATTCCATATCATTTTCCTGATATTATACTATGCCTCAAACTGGACTGAAATGAACCCAGAAGTTTTTCCTCATCCAAAGCAACCTGGAATTGAACTGCCACGATACGTCTATAATATCCTTCGATACATAATTGAAGGGAAGTTTGAGAGAAAATGTTATAAGAAGGTAGATCTATTGAATAAGTGGCTCCAGAGACTGGATGGGCCTTAATAAAGAACAACTAATCCAGATAGTGGAAGACAAGTGGATGATGGTACGCCATAATGGTAGCCAACCTCTGCAACTGAGACAGCACAGAGAGGGAGAGGATCCTGTTCAATATTTATCTGCATAGACATTCAACTGAAGAAGCTGTCATGGCTCTGTGAAGAAGGATCCATGCGCGGTCAAATGCACAACAGGTGACTGGGTCAAATCGCCAAGGCAGCTTCAGCTGTGTACATGCAAAAATTAAGAGCAAGAGTGCCCTTAGTTCCTGGAAAAAACTGCCCAAACACATAACGTGTCTCTAACAATATGGCCAAAAGGAACCAGCAGAAACTTGGAAAGTTATAATTTTTTTTAAGACTACAGCTCACGTAATAACATTTGCCATAATGGATGGATGATTCTGGGACTTGTTGATGGAAAAAAAGAGGAACCTTTCCTCAGTTCTATCCAACAGGGTCTTTTTGCAAGCAGGTTCTACTTTGCTGTGCTGAGACACCATCTCAATCTGACACGACCAGGAGTAGGGAAAGCGAGACGGGAACAGGACGAGCATCCAAAGACGGCCTGGCAGTGCTAATTGGGTGGCCTGTGCAGCAGCCCGCAGGGTGGTGAAGATCAGATTCACCAAAGCACTGGACGCCAACATGCCAGTAATGGCCATTTGGTTTCTCTAGAATAAAAGATCTTCAGAAAAAGGTTCGCCATATCTGCACCTTTCCTTCACTGTTTCCATCCTCAGAATGGCTTTCTCTGGGAAAAGGCCCAAATTCCCACCCTCACTATGTCCTGCGATCCCACGGACAAGAAGTGTTACCTTCTTTGTAGCTCTAATTAACGGATACGGCTGAAAGAGAACTTGCCCAGACTTGCCAATCTACCTCACCCTCTGTCTGATGGTCATAAAATGTCACACGCAATAGCCTGGGAAATGGGGCCTTTGAGACCTTAGCTTGTTTGGCCATTGTCAAACTGGCAGTTTACAGACTCCTGCATGGAACAGTTTTTTTTGTTTTCCGGATGCAGGAAAAGAGGAAGACCAAATACGAGATGGACAGACTCTCTAAAAGAAGCCACAGGCTTGAGTTCGCAAGAGCTGAGCGGGGTTATCGAGGACAAAACGTTTTGGAGATGGCTTATTCATAGGGTTGCCACTGAGTCAGAGGTGACTTAGTAGCACAGATCAATGATGGCCCCCAGGCTGTGCAACAGTTTTTGCCTTCAGGCATTTGGAAGGGGAAGAAAAGTAGCTCTCTCTCTCTCTCTCTCTCTGACTACCATCTCTTCTGCTTGCTGTTTTATTAAGGCAGGTTTAAGCAAGGGCTCCGGGTTTGTGGGCCAGGCTTCCAACTCCAGGAGAACCCAAAATTTACCCAGACGGAACTTTAAAAAAAAAAAAAGAGTGGGATTGTGGTTCCATAAAATTTCCAATTAAATAACAAATCTTTTGCAGTTCTTGTCATTGCTAAAAACAAGTGGACATGCGGGGAGAGATTCCAGAAAGAGATTTCAGGGATTATGAAAATAACTTTTAGCACCCTGTGGGGCTTGTGACACCCCCCCCTCGATTCCCACCCCAGTGTCTGAAGAGGACACCATTTGTCTTCTGACACAGCGGCTCTCCTCTGATTTAGGTTTATTATTTATTTATTTATTTATTGCATTTATATGCCATCCATCTAGACATAGTCTACTCTGGGCAGCTCACAACTTAGAAGATAAAAACAATTTAAAATATACAGTTTTACATTAAAAAACAAAATGATATAAAATATAATATAAATTTACGATACTACTGAAAATGCACCGTAAAGTTCCAGAGCAACTGTCCCCAGTCACTGAAGATTGTTTCAGGGGGCTGGCTCTGCCTGGCCTTCCCGACAGCATCCGCGAAGGAGGGCCACGGAAGAGTCTGCACCGAGAGGGGGGGGCTCGCTCTGCCTGGGGGCAGCCGCACCCTCTCCAAGAGCCCGGGAATGCAAGGTGCCCTACTGGTCACAAGTCCTGTTTGTTTCTCGGACGCCAAAGAGAAAGGGCTATAAAAAGGAGGAGACTTTAAAAAAGAGAGATCAAGCAACAGAAAAGGTTCAAATGGCAAACCATTCCAGGCCTTGGTTGAGGACACAGCGCTGAGGATGAGAAATCACTCCTTGACATCAGCCTGACCTTGGCTCAAGGGCAGTGACCTCCTTTCTGCCTCAAAGGGAAGGAACCAGATGTTGCATTCTTCTCATGACCTCCTGGGGCACCTCTGTGGCAATTGCCAGATGTGGAGGGTCAAAAGGGACCATCCGGGCACACAATAAGGGCTCCCTGATGCCAGTCTTTTCACTGGGGCAGCAGTGGACGTGGGGGGTGGGATTTTTTAAAGGGCAAATGATGAGTTTATGATAGTTCCTTTTTCAGTCTACTACAATCCCCAGAGCACAGCAGCCAGCATCTACTGACTCACCAACACCATTGTAAAAAGTTAATTATAAATAACTAGTTATCTGTAGTAAACAAATAGTTGTATTACACTATGATTGCAACTCAACAAAAGATGACACCCTGTTCCTCTTACTGTGTGACTGCAACCCTTTAATAACTTTGGGGAGGTGGCCTCTGTAAATGTTAAGGAAATATCCCAGGGTTCAAATGCTGCTTAAACTGCTCCTCCTGCTTTGTTGGAGGTGATTAAGATGATGGTGAGACGGATGGGAAGAGTATACAGTACACACGCTACACTAACCAGTCACTTGTAGCATTCATATTCTAAAAGGGGTTTTAATGGTGTGTGTTTTTTTAACTTCTAATACTTTAAAAACTTTTTAAAAGTTTTTTTTACTATTGGAAATGGGTGTTGATTTTTTTAAAAAAAACCCCTGCAGTTATAACTATAACTTATACCTGTAACCGATTACTTATGAAAAATAACTTTTTAAGCTCCATAAGAGCAACAGGTTGGAAGCAACACATCACAGCCATACCTGTGGGCGCTCCTGAAGGAGTAACACATTCCTTTTAACACTTGTGGCTTCCCTGCTGAGAACAGGCTCCCCACATTCTAACTTGTGTGTCAAACGGGACATGTGCCGGCCGTACATATTAAACCCGGAGCTGTCAGCCACTTGGATTAGCACAGTAGAAGCAAAACATGTGATGCCAATATTTGGCTTACGACATATTATGGCTACTGTGACCCAGATCCTCTGTAAATAATGGGCATTTCTACAATTCATTAAAAAACAACAACAAATCTACTAGTTTAGAAATACAGATGCTAAGCTTTATTCCTCATCTGTTGGAATCCAAAGCAGAATTTCTTCCCCAGTCACACTGACAAAAATTAGGATCTGGCTGGGAATGGTTTATGTACATGGAAAGTAAAGGGAAATAAAGGATTTATACAATGCCTTTGTTTTACTGGCTAAATTGATGGCGAAAATGGAGAACGCTGAATTTTATCCAGCTTTTTCT